TCATTATGTTATCATTTTAAAATAGCTGCAGAAATCTTTTTCATGAAATAATTCATATATTATCTTTTGCAAAATACGCCTTTAAATCATTGATAACCTGTTTATTATTATCCATTTATTATTATTCAAATGAATTGCAACCTGTCCCTAAACTTCATGATTTCACAGTTAATAGTCACACACGTTTTGATTGAATAAGTAAAAAACAAATTTGTAATTGTGACTGACAACCATTTTGATTTCTAATGTGTTCATAACATGATTTCTTTGCAAATTTGCTAAACATTAGGCTTCTACATTCGGAACTGGGGGAAGGGTAAAACAAGTAAAACTCCGGCATGGACTATAAGTAAACTTATTTTCGCGAGTCAACAACAGTTATAGTGTTGCCCTCACTTATTGATAGTAGCGAAAATTAAAGGTGGCTTATGAAAATGAAACACGAGTACACTATCCGACTACCAGCACATGTTGTGACATTCTTCACTTGTGAGCGGTATTATATTTGTCCAATTCACAACATTTGTGGAAGTATATGATAGCGGTAAAAAAATCATCCAAAGATTTGATACCCGTTGGGCCCATCCCAGTCCATGATTCCCTTTCACGCATTGTTAAGCCAATGTACTAATTATTAGAAAGACGAACACATTTTTGTGTAAACTAACAATCTTCATGGATTTAATCAACAAATATGAAATGTGCATTTATGTGCCATTTCGAACAACAATTTTTGCACGTGTCATTAAATGCAAAATTGTTAGCGCATATATTCATTGCTCTTTCGAAATGTTGTTAGAGTAATATTTTGGCCCCAACTAGCATATTTCTCGGCGAACCAATCCATGCTTCGACTGACTTAGCTCTGATTTGTAACTGATTTCAGCTGGTAATCTGCAAGGGCGGTGGTCGTCGCGCCAAACATGTACGGTATTTGTGTTGATAAATATATATTTTCCCACAATCCAATGCGTTACTCTATTGAAATCATGAGTACGAGTTATAAACCTAAAACATACCTAATTAAGCTTGATAGTGTCTCAGTTTGTACTCATCGGTTTGCGCAACAGTCAAAGTTGCCGTTTCTGTTTCAGACCCATATCTCGCGCATGCCTGGCGCGATGACCACCGCCCTTTAAAGCAGTTATTAATTTCCCTCTGTGGAGAGCATACGTGTATCCGATACATTTGATGCGTAATGCAGTCCGACGATATTGTAGTTGCTGCTAATTCAAATTCCAAGCTCACAATGCAAACTTCTAACCGGGTATAAATTAAACAAAATGTGCTACAATTTCAAACACTGTGAACAAACATACTGCCATCCGTCAGTCACTCTGATTCCAATAGTCATTAACACAGATCGGCTAAAACGTATTCCTGAACACCGGTTTCAAACTTTGAACTTAGATACTTGGTAAATATATATTTGTTACATTGTGATGAAACTTTTATAATGATTCGATCTTGCTTCAGCAACTCGGGAGTTCAGTTAAACCGAATTCTGAAATGATTTGATTGCCATATAATTATAACCTCAGGATGTTGTATAGTGCACTCAATAACATATGCAATGATTGGATAACTGTTACATGTCCATATTTATACGTATATACTTTTTTTAGATATCGTTCCAGTACATGTCTGAGCAAGATGAAGTTAATTTCAGGGTATCTACATTCAATGGTATTAGTGGTGGCTCTTTCATTGCATGGATTAGGTGTGTAATTAAGTAATAATATTATGTATTTGTGTGCAGGTGAGTATGTGCGAGCGTCTGTATGGATGTACTATAGCTAGAAGTGATAAAGCTAGTGTAACCCAAATTTTACATACGAGTTCCCTGAATATTTCACAAGAT